GCACTGACAGGCATGGAACATCAACCACCTCTCTAAGAAGCCTGTTCCAGTGTTTGACCACCCTCTCAGTAAAGAAAGGCTTCCTAATGTCAAGTTCCCTGATGCAGCTTTGAACCATCCCCACTGGTCCTGTTGCTGGATCTCAGGATGAAGACACCAGCACCTCCCTCTTGCCCTCCTCAGGAACCTGTAGAGAGCAATGAGGTCACCCCTCAGCATCCTTGCCTCCAAACTAGACAAACCCAGTGTCCATCTGCTGAGCATCTGCCACTGATGGGTCCTTTCCAAGCGGAGGAGAAGAAATGCCAGCACCCAAGCCGGATCTGGCAGAGCGGGAAGAAAGCCTGTGCCTGAGGGCAGCAGCACGGCCATCTTTCCCTGGCTGCTTTCCAGTCGGGCAGCCCACTGCATGTGCTGGTGCCTGGCACTGTCCCTCCCCGTTGTGCTTCCCCTTCAGCTTCTTGGGGCTCCTGCCTTGGCGGGGTATGACCCTAGGCTGATGCGGAGAGCAGCACCGAGTCGTGAGTCCACGCAGGAGGAGAGATTTGGGCGCCGCCGTAGAGAGGCTGCACCGGGCAGCGCAGGCTGGTAGGAGAGCAGAGCCCCGGGACGTGGGGGCAGAGGGTGCGGTGAGGAGCAGGACAGGCCGGGGGGGATGAGCGATGGGGTACAGGCCGGCCCTGCAGAGGCCCTGGCTGGAAACATCTGCCCCGGGACTGGCTGCTGAGGTGCAGGCCCAGAGCTGGGCATCACTTGCCTTCAGGGTGAACAAAAAATAGTAACTGGCACATGTAGAAGGGCCTTTCATGTTAACATCCCACCCCTCCCAGCAATAAATCACAAAAGGCTGAGGATAGCAGAGTCACCTGCACTGTTAGTAACACTGAGACTTCTGTAGTTTTCATGCATTTATTTCATTCGGATAGTTGGATTTGGAGGCGGGGAACCCTTGAGGGCTGGTGCATGCACCAGCAGATGGTCCAGTCCTGATCTGGCCAAACCATTCTTTTTTGTTAGAAGTCTCTCATCTTCTATATAAGTGCAAGATTATGACTGAGAAGAAAAGTGACTTGTCTACCTCAAAAAAAATGTCACAAACTCCTCACTTTTTTCTATTATGATCATGTTTGATGTGATAAACAGTGAAGCAAGTCATACTGTACAAAAAGTCAACTTTTAGTATGATGTGATATAATGAATTTGAGTAGTAAGAAAAGCCTGCATCCATTTTATCACTATCTGTTGCAATCTGTCCATGTGACACTTGCTAATCTGATGCTTTCACTCACTAGCTTGCTTTCATGTGAGTCCACAGTGTCTGGTAATGTCTCTTTTTCTTCTGATAATCCTGCTCATATAAAACTCATGCGATAATTCTCCTTAAGGAAGATGCTCTCTTTCTGTTTATGTGTGGCCTCAAGAGACTACAGACAGACCCCAGAGACTCCATTCCAGAGTCTCCTCTCTCTACACCATGTCTTAATAAAGTGGCTGGAAGCAGTCTTTTTTCCTGAAATAGCACTGGAGTGTATCAGGGTAATAATGGCCTGAAATACACTGCGCTCCTCAAGAGTTATTATTCTATGTTCCCCAATTGTTGACTAAGATGTTTTTTCCCTCCTGTCGATTCCCATGGGCAGATCTCAGAAAGCTTTCCTCAGTACCAATAGTGATCTAGTTGAAGCTGTTCCATTTTTCCATTCATTGCAGTTAGTTCAGATTCCAGATGCTCAAATTTTCCATAAATTGATTAAACTATCTCCTAAAATAAGGAAATCACAGGGTCATTAGTTCAGTTTCATGAGCAATTCTTGACTAAGATCTCAGGTTAGACAAGGCCAGTTCTCTTGACTTCAGCATCCTTGCTCAGTTGGAAATGTTTCCTTCTTCAGTTACCTGCACCTTTATTGTCTTTACCTGTATCTCCTCAAAAAGCTTTTATGGTATCTAAGCATAAATAAGTAATCCTAATTCAATTTAAAAATTTAAAATATTTAGAACTGAGCCTAAAGAAACTTGACCTCCTTGTTTACTCCTGCCCTGAAGATTCTATCTCTCAGTATCAATATGAATATTATGGTGTGTTCTTGTACACATAAAATGCTTTCCATCTAAATTTTTTCCTGATTCCTGCATAGTGAGATTATCTCAATTCTGTTACCTTACTGTGGCTTTAATTTGGCATAAATTTTCTGGCAACTTTGTGTCACTCATATCAGATGAAAGAAACAGGATTTAGCCTTCAACAACAAACTCATTTTGTTATGGTAGAATTTTCTTGTGCAATGTAATAGGGGTTCTGTCAATGGGGAGAACATAAAAGGCAAAGCAATAACAGTGTATTCTTCATCATTTAGCTATGATTTGATAACTCTAGCCATATTTGTTATTTACAAGTCTTTCTTTACAGAATTTGGTGTAATAACTAACTTTCAGTATAATTTTCTTGGGTTGTCTGCCTCAGCTTTGTTAAAATTTTTCTGTACCACCTCTGAAAATGCTTGGCTCCAAAAATCATAGTTAATGATGCTGTAGTTACACCACAGGAAAAAAAAAGAAAAATTGCTGCCACTTGAATCCTTTAGAACAGGAAGAAGAATGTGTTCTTTACAGAGGTACTCAAGGGTTGGGACACAAGACATTTTTTTTATTTTTGAAGACTGCATACACATGCTTTTTTACTCACTCTCTTTCCAAGTACCCCTGATTCAGCTGAAGCTGCAGTCCTAAAATATCCACAGGGCAGTTGCCTACATATGGCAAATGGTGGTTTTCCTGAACTGCAGCAGATTTTCTCATTGGAATTTCAGTCAGGACCATTTATAGTTATTAAAGTACTTAGGTAAAGGAAAAAAGAAATAAAACTACAGATGCCAATAATTTTTATTTAAATTCAAGAATGACTAAAAGTCCAAGGGCAGTCTGCAACTCAGTAAAAAGATTACTAAATCTGAGATATGAAAAGAGGGACAGGTTACTGGAATATGAATTGTTTTTCTTGGAAATGATAATGTATGTGTTTGCCTATCTGTCTATTTATGACATGAAACATGATCCAAGCACATTTTTCCTGTGCAACATGTTAAGTGTTGCAGGGGTTTTGAATACGTATGTAATGGTTAAGTACACTCAAAAGCTGCTATTGTGAACTTACCAGTTTTCTCTCAAAACTTGTCAAAACCCCTTATGAAACAATAATGGTAATTAATAAATTGGTTTGTATAACAAGTTTTGAACCTGAGTTGAAACGAAAATGTTTTGCATATGGTGCTGAGTAATTTTTGTAACACCAAAAGTGCATTTTTGTAGCACTCCAAGCTATTTTTTCACAGTTTGATGAAGAAGACAGCGTCTGTTCAAAACTTCTGCTAAATTTATGCCTTAGTGTATTTCTAAAGCATTCACTAGAGAAATGGGAGCTCTTCTGTTCTTGTCTGTGACCATTTTACCACTCAAAGGTTATGGGAAAGAACATTATGATGGGGTAAAGAGCAACAGAATATGCAATTAAATGAAAAGAATTTCTCTCAGTGTAGCTGATTAAGTACACCATCAGGCAGAAAGTTAAGTAAACATACAGTCATAGAAAAAAAATCCTACACTGGGGGAAAGACTCCTTTGGTTCTTCTTATAAGAAGAATTGCTAGATGGCAAGTCTAATTCTCATAAGAACTTTGTTGCAAACTTTGTACTCAACATTTGGAGCTTATCCTGTCAAGCAGAAAGTACAACCACATGCAGCATGAGAGAAACATTTCAGTTTGTATGACAAATGTCATTTGAAAATGGGCTTTGCTTTTAATTTAGAACATTGTAAACACATCAGGAGAAACTAGTTTTGATCATTTGCCAAATATTGCACAAGTATTTAGACTAATAAATAGCCTTCTATAACAGGAAGTGTACTGTATATTTTATGCGTTCCCACAATTTTTAAGAGAAAGTCTCATCCCTTCTGTTTCACAGATGTTTCTAGAGAAAAAGAAAACGAGATAAAATAGCAGATATTATTATCAAAAAAGCATTTCAGTCATGAGCTAAAGATTTAGGAACATTAAGAGTACATTATAAATAAGAGTACATTTTAATTAGAGGTTTTTGCTCACTGATTAGTCTTTCAGACCCCAGGTTAAAGTCATGCCTTACTGAATAAAATATGATGTATAGTTAAGAAAATAATCATAGGGTCTATCATCTCATTATTTTCATTGTGTAAATTACAAAGTAAGGCATATTCCAGCTGTTAGGAAAACCAACTGGTCTAGTTTCCTATGTAGTTATTAAAGCATGTGGATCAGACCTAGGAATGTACAAGGCACCAAATATTCTGTCTCATGCTGCTGCTACCAAGGCTGTGCTATGCACCGAGATCTAAGGGTTTTATCTGGTAAACTTTGTGCTGGGCTCTCCCTTTTGTATCCAAAATATCACAGGAAGGAAGCAAGCCCAAACAACCTCTATGACTTTCGGGCGTGGCAAAAGCTTTCTTACTTATATTACCTTACCATCCGGCTTGAAGGGCTGATAGTATGGAACAAGCAAAAACAGTTCCAAACATGGAAAGAATATTTTTACTTCTAACCCTCCAAATAAACTCCATGAGGGGTGGTGGTACACGTTATATCAAGGAATGCATGATTATCTTATTCATATTATTTGGGTTTTCCCAGGAGAAAGATGTTCTGTGGTTAACAGAAGTAACTTCAATTAAATTCTGCAGAAATTTGGTGCAACTTTGGGAAAGGTATAGGACAGTATGCAGGCTGCTCAGCAAGTTCTTGGAATTAGTTATCAATAATGTTTTGATGCAGACAGTGAAGCATGCAAATAGTGAAAGAGCCTTTAAACCTGGATTCTAACCAATGAGTTTGAGATTGTTCAAAGTGCAAAGTGGATCAGAATGACAATGATATGAGAGCTGATCACTTTTAAGAGATGGAGCAGTATAAGATTAAATCGGCTGAAAAGAATGCAGAAATCAGGAAGACAAATCAAAGAAGTAGAATGTTTAGGATAACTGGCAAAGAAGTAATACTAAGGCCACAAAGTAGGAGATAGGGAATGTAGGAAGGGAGCAATTTGTTTTATGATGAGTTTCACTGGTACCAAGCACAAGCAAAAACATGCAGAAGGTGGAAACTAAGCTCAGTTATGTAAGCACACGTGAAGGTCTGAAGTAGAAAATGATCTTGCAGGAAGGTATCTTGTCTGCTGGACAGGCAAATGCCTGCTACAGGACAGAAAGTAGGAAGTAATTGTAGATAATGCAGACAAAATTTAAAGGTTTAATATATCTGGATTAGCATTCTCTAACTAAATTAATACAAGCATGCGGCCAAGACAATACCTCTACAGGACAGTGTAAGAATACTTTAGTAAGCTGGATGTTTTCAAATTGGCAGAGACCAAAGAATTACAACTTTGTATTCTTACAAAGTAAGGATTTGTGAGATTCTTGCTTGAACAAGGAGATAAATGCGTCTATTCCTTGAAGATCCTTTAGCCCTACCTTTGCACAGTTCTGTAATATGTCTTGGCTCTAGTTGCTTATCTCCTTAACAAACGCCCTCTGTCTCAGAAATCATTACATATAAATATGAATCCATATTTGCAATATATTTGGGAATAGTGCTGATCGGACTGCTGTCTTATGAGTACAACCAAAGAATCAATATTTACATAACTGTTGGGGAATTCAGGTGCTTATCTATAGCTATACAAACCATGCGTGTCCCTACTTAGGAACATAGGCGTAGCTGTCTGTGGATGTACCGTTGCCAGCAATATCATAGAATCATACAATATCTCAAGTTGGAAGGGACCAACAAGGATCATTGAGTACAACTCCCTGCTCCTCACAGGACCATTTAAAACTAAGTCATATGACTAGTATATGTATGGTAGTGGAGCTGCTGCAGGAGTCACTGCTATGTAGAATAAGAAATCATATTCTCAGTTCTTACTAAAAGGGGGCAAGATAGTTGTACTATTTCTGGTCTGGCTTTCATTAGATGTTAGTGTTCTACTCTTCTCCCCATCTCCATTTCATCAGATCTCTTATTTATTGCATCTTATCACTATTGTTACAAATAAAAGCTTACAGAGTCAAATTTAATATAATTGGATGATGTTTTCTTTTTATAACATGTAAAAATTGCATATATAGCCTTTGTGATTTGCTCTAGATCTGAGTTCAGCCACTACTGAAAACTTTTCCCTAATAATACATAAAAACATCAGGTAGTGGTCTAGCTATCCCTGTATGCCTTTTGAATTATGGTTCTCTTTAGGAAATATGTATTTATTATAATGACACTTTTTGAAGGAATTATTTCAGTTACAAATTATTTTCATTATCTTTTAGACTTTCTATCACATTTTGACCTGTATCCCAATATCATCTAATTAAACACTTTATCACCTCATCAGTTCTTTTTTGAAATGTCAAATTATTACAACTATTATTTTGTTACATAGCAATAAGAATTATACTGGCAAGAAGACCCAATTCTCTCTTGAAAAAGGTTTAGCTCATTGGATCAGAATTTGCATACGGATCTAACTAGGAACTTGATTTAGTTCAAAAATGCAGATAAACAGAAAGCTGTGATATTTCACATTTATAATGTCAAAAACTTGTACTGTCCAACAAAGATGTTTTTGAAATTATTAGCTAGGCTGTAGTAGTAAAAAATGTATTAATTACTTTCAGAGGATGTAATTCTTAAGAAAAGAAATTTGCAATTCCTTTGACTAGACAGTAATTTTTTTGGAGTATATTTCTTGCCTTGATTTCAGACAATTGTAGACACTACAGTTGGAAAAATCCAGTTAAGTCACATCTACCATCAATGCAAAAGAACATATTCTTCACTATTTTTCTAAACTAATCTAAAAATTACCAATTACTGGATTTTCATTTCATACTGTAGTAATTCCCTTACGTGTTTTCATTGACACAAATAAATTGTTTTTCCCAATTTAGTTTATCTTAAGCTTTCTATTTCTAATTGTACCATTTACCTATGTAAACATAGATCTGCCTAGGTTCAGTATCTTTTACTTTCCTTGCCACTTTTACATCTGTTACCCCTTTTCAATTACCTAACCTTTTAAGAAGCAGGGCTTTGTCAAAGTGAGGAACTGAAATTTTCTAAAAAATAAGAACTTTTTGTGTACTCAGATTAAAGTAGCTAAAATTCATAGTCACTTTCAAATGCAGGGGATTGGAAGTGCATTGTGTCTTTCCAGTAACATGGTTTATGAGAAAATACATCAAATCTAGCAGAAAGGCAGAGAAGGTGGAAGAAATATTCAGAATGTGGATTAAAATGATACACAAAAAACTAAGGAAATATTTATTTCAGGATAAAATAAAGTGAAATCCTGCCCCTAATGTAGTTAAAATGAATATAACCATTGAGTTCAGCAGTACCAGGATTTTACTATGTCTGTCTTGAAACATATTCAATACTTTTAAAGTTAATTTAATCTGAAGACACAGTGGAGGTTTTCTACTACTTTATCATAGAGCTGAATGAATAAAAATATCATCTTGTATAAATTGTCCAATGATAATCCAATTTCAATCATCTAATTTAAAAATTCAAATTAATAAATGTAGAGTGTCCTCTAGTGAAAATTTCCAATGTATGTAAAAAATGAATATATATTTTCTGTTAGGCAATTAAAAGTTAGGGGTTTTGCCAAAACTGTTTTGTGGTTCGTCTGCCAAGCCTTGCAAAAAGTTACTTTTTTTTGAAATCTTTGAAACACTTAAGCGTATAAAATAAAATAATTCAATAGCATTATAGCATAACAAAAATTATAGCCAACAATATTAAGGTATAACAAGGGAATTGAATCTGAGTATGCTAGGAAAGCATTTAAGGGAAAAAAGCATTTGCAAATGCATGTCATTTTGCTTGTATAATTTGTCATTAAGAAGAGAAAATTAATATGTAGATCAGAGGTGAAAGTTCAGTTTTACAGAAAGTCCTTTCCTGTATTTTTAACACTTATTAAAAGGGAAAACTGCAGGTCTTACAATCTCTTTTGGAATTTTGCTGGGAGAGGATGAAAAAGTATCCACTCCTTTGTAATAACTGTCTAGCCATTGGACCTATTGAGATCAAACAGCATGTACTTCTTTCCATTTGGCCGCATGGAAAACCAGTTACCAGTACACAAAAGAGGCCTTTCTCAGAGAGACAAGCTAAGGGAGATAACAAGGTCACCTACAAATTCCCTGAGAAATTTCAAAAGTCATTTATGACTGACAAGACCAGTATTGCAAAGAATTAATTGATCTTGTATACCTTGAAAACTTTTATGAGATGGGTTTGAACAACACAAATCAAGCGTCTGAGTTTCCTAATTCTCTTCCCTCCATCCTTGATGTCTCTCGCATGAATAGCTACACCTCAAAGCAAAGGATTTTTTCACATTTATCTTTAAGCTCTTGCAAACTTTCCATCTGAGGACACCACCTGAACTGACACTAATAGGTCATACAATGTTATTCAGATAATTTTTGAGAATCATGTCCAGTTATATGAATAACTTGTTACTTTAGAGCAGTTTATTGCTCCACTGAGGGGAAAAATAAAAAGCAACAATATATAAACACAGTACTTTGTTTAGGTTGTTCTAGTCACTATATACAAAAGGTAGCTTTAAAACTGGTTTCAGAGTAGAAAAAAATTAGCAGATATTTTCATGGATTTAACTCCTGCTATGACACTGCTTCAGTTATACTATATTGAACCACTTTTATCCAGAACGTACCTGTTTTTTCATATGGCTCATTTCTAAACTGTGGGCCCTCCAATGGAAAAACTGCAACTTACTCAATTTGCATGACTTCTGACAGAAAGGTGAGAAGTTAGCAAAAGGCACATGCTTGGCATTCCAGTGATGTCATTGACAAAATGTTGTTCTCTGTAACAAGACATGGAGAAGACACATAAGGCTAGCTGCCATATATTTCAAGACAATTTCCTCCAAGGTCAATCTTAAAAATGACTGGGCTATTCTAGTTTAAAGCCCGAGGCAGGCATTCAGCATGGCAAATCTGAATGGCTACATTTATTATAACTAAATCATTTTATGATGTGGGCAAGTGGACAAATGTAGGTGGCATCTTACTATAATACAAAACAATTTTCCACTTTTGCCCATCAAATACAGAAAAAAACCCCAGTGGGTCTGGATGAAAAGCCAGCCTACAAGTAGTTAAAAATTTCTAATCTATTCTGCATCTCATACACAAGTGTGTGTGGGAATGCTTGTAAATTTAATGAAGTGCTGACCTAAAGAAGTTTATGCCTGGCCTCCAATTAGACACTAATAAGCTAACCTTAGGTAGCATAAACTCTTTCTTATTATGAAGATGGAATATGTTAGCTATAAGCAGCCCCAGTTCCCCAACTTCATAACATTATCAAGACCTTTTTATTTTTTTTTTTTTTTTTTTTTTTTTTTTTACAAAACAAGCTTTTCCTTTTAACATCTTGGCTCAATTCCCCTCTTTTTTTGAAGTCACTGTAACCTCCCCATTGGTTCCAATGGGTTTTGAATTGAGGTCTTAGATGCGTAGCTGTTGCTAATACAGGATTAAGTATTCAAATGGTGTACAAAATGAATAACAAGAGCAGTTTATAAATTTATCTTATATAATAATCTAACCCAGAAGATAGAAGAGGACAAGAGGATATCTATTACTTTTTCCTAGATCTCCCAGGGAGTATGTGGTCATCAGTGGTTCTCCACATATTCAGGTCTAGTTGCATATTCCAGCTATCTCCTGGCTCCAAGTTTAGGTAAGATCTGGGCATTTTTGCCCCTCTATTAGAAAGGGGACAGAATAGAAATGGTTTACAGTATGCTTCACCTGCATCTTTTATGAGGTCCACCTGCATGATGCATCTTTAATGTAAGTTGTGGCCGCTCTTACTCTGTACAAACACTATACTAGTCAGTTTCCTCAGGAAAAAAAAAAAAAAAAAAGTGAACTTAACTGCTTAATTCTTCAAAAAGTGAGCTGGTATCATGATACAGAGCATTTCAACACCCATCTCTTAAGACACTATAGAACACTGTGGGGTTCTACAGGCTTTTCAAACTGACATGTCCATGAGAAAAGGTGGACACTCAAGAGTTGGATATCCAAAAAGCAATTTAAGCTAGTCAATAGGGAAATACTGAGGTAAACAATATATTATTAAACTTTTATCCAGTTCATAAGGCTCCTTAGTCCCATAATTATGAAAGAAATTGCTTTGCCACTTACTGGGACTTTTACAAATGTATTTAGAAGGTTGCAGCATCTCCTTACATCTTCTCTTTCCAAAAACTCTTGTCTTGACATTGTTATCATTAATCTCTTACCTTTGTTGTTAGTTTTCTATTAATAACAATGGAGCAGCTGGTTACATTCTATACTGGGCATGGAAAAATAGCTCACTTGATGCCACTGAGCATCTTGTAAGTGCATTTATTTTTCTACAAGACATACTGTATTTGACAAGTCTGACAGAGCACCTAATACAGCCAGTAAGAGTTTTCAGTTAGCCCATGAAATTGAAGTTTTAGCTAAAGTAAAAATGATAAAAGATGCAAAATCTGATCTTGGAGAAACATCTCTCTGTGAACATGCCAAAAGTAGTTTGAATAAATCTTTAAATGGTACTGCAATTAATTTTTTCAGTAATGAATAAAGAGTATATGTACAATCTCTTAATTGTAACTTATTTATCCTTCTATTCTCATTAAGAAAACACACATATCTTCACTTCTTGTTCACTACTGTGGCTGTTTTGTGTACTTCTGTTTTGGTATATGTGATAGTTCAAGGTATAAACATTTAGAAAGCTTGGTTTTATGATACACTTTTATATGTTTTTTAGATATGACTCTAAAAACAACACTGTATTTGAAAATTTTAAAGGATTTTCCTTCAACAGACTTAAATAATAGATCACCTGTTTGTACATCCCTGTGTACTTTTTCCTTTTAGATTGTTACCTAAGCTTTGTTATTTGAACAATGGTTTTCTTCTTCTCTAGGCTCACCTTCTTTACGTCTTTATGTCTCCTGTCATGAAGTTCTAACTGAATGTGTGACATCAGTCATTTCCATGGCAATGGACTGATGCTTTAAACATATGATTATGATGAATTCAAGATAGCACTGAGTAAAAGGAAAACAAGACTATGAGCAAGGAAGATTTTCTTAGAGCACAATGGTGTTCTGTTAAAAGGGTGGAGAAAGGAATATAAATGCTGACTACACTTCCACTTTTTAACATTACAGTTCTGCATGATGGTCCACACATTGTGGTTATTTATTTCAGATGTTCACAACATTTGATGTAACATCTGTGGCATTCAGACATTGCCAAAAGTTTCAGACATACTCATTAATCTTGTTTTTACATATCTGACGTAAGACACAGTGGGTTTTCATGACTACCTGCAGCTGTAAATAGAATCATAGAATCACAGAGTCATAGAAAGGTTTGGTTTGGAAGGGACCTTAAAGATCATCTAGTTCCACCCCCCTGCCATGGGCAGGGACACCTTCCACTAGACCAGGTTGCTCAAAGCCCCGTCCAGCCTGGCCTCGAACACTGCCAGGGAGGGGGCAGCCACAGCTTCTCTGGGCAGCCTGTTCCAGTGTCTCACCATCCCCACAGTGAAGAACTTCTTCCTTACATCTAATAGAAATCTATCCTCTGTCAGTTTAAAGCCATTACCCTTTGTCCTATCACTACATGCTCTTGTAAAAAGTTCCTCTCCAGCTTTCTTGCACCTTTAGATAGTGGAAGGCTGCTATAAGGTCTCCCTGGAGCCTTCTCCAGGATGAAAAACTCCAATGTTCTCAGCCTGTTCTCAGAGTGGAGGTGCTCCATCCCTCTGATCATCTTCATGGCCCTCCTCTGGACTTGGTCCAACAAGTTTATGTCCTTCTTATGTTGGAGGAACCAGAATTGTATTCAGTACTTCAGGTGGGGTCTCATAAGAGTGGAGTAAAGGGGAAGAATCACCTCCCTTGACCTGCTGGCCACACTTCTCTGGATGCAGCCCAAGATACAGTTGGCATTCTGGGCTGCAAATGCATGTTGCCAGATCACGTTGAGCTTCTCTTCAGCCAAGCTCAGTAGATGTATTAGGCTCTCATCACCTCTGAAAAATCATTCTTAAAACATTTCAGGTTGACCTCCGAAAAACTGGAACACAGGCAAACACTGGGAAATATGGCTGTACATTAATTTGTCTTAGTAAATTTATGTTAAGAAATGCCATAGGTTTAAAATTTAAAAGTCATAAAACTACTTCTTTAAAAAAAATATATTTCTAGTCCAGCACAATCTAATTTATGTAATGAAAAATATATGCTGTTTTCTGTAAATGACATTCCCATTAGCTGAATTATGTTATTATGAAGTGTCTTGAGTATAACACAGATACACACATGGATGTGGGTTTCTGCTGGGTCAAATTCCTACTGCAGGCTAAAGGGCTACTGGTTGCATCAGAGATTGTACTAAAAATCTCTAATGCAGACCCTGGTAAGCAGTGGCACCTCCTCAGGGGTTCCATCTTGTTTCCAACTCATCCTATACTGCATAGCTCAGTTGAAGCTATACTGACAGGGCTTATATAGTGACTGAGGAATCATGCTGTGGTAATATCAAAACTAGAAAGAAAAGTACAAAAGCTTTATTCTATAGTTAAAGATGCTATATTACTCTATGTTTCTGTGCAATGGCTACTGGAAGGATTGTCAATTTTAGTCCTGTTCTGCCCAAGAGGCAAGAATTTAAAGTACTATGGCATGTCTTCTTTGAGCTTCACTGGCAGAAAGTGCAGTATGAAGATGGAGAAAGATGTCAAGGATATTCCATATCTCTGTTGCAAGAAATATTGATCTTGAGGTCATAATTAGAGTCTGATTAACACATGGATTAAAAATAACACCAAGAACAGTCCTAATATACCTAACTGTATGAAATATGTATTCCAATGTTCACAGTTTACTAACTCTTATGAACAGCTTGGGAATTTCTTTCACTAAGCAGTTTTAAAATACTGTTTCAGAACTTGGAAACATCCCATTCTTGTTGATATTTTCACTTCTTCCATCTATTGTTAAGACTGCATATACCACAGGAAAATGGCATGCTTCAAAGACTTCAGTGAAGAAGGAAATTATCAATTTTCAGATATACTGTTAAAACTGCATAAATGTTACAAAACATCTGAAAGTTATGGGTCACTTCTGAAGTAGAAGACTGAAGAAATGGGCAGTATGAAGTGCTGAGGCTTGGACAACCAGCCCAAGCCAGAGTTGACGTGTAGATGAATCCTGTATATTTTATAACTGAAACCACTGTGCTAGTAGGTATTGTACTAAGTTATAACAAACCACTTATGCTGATGTAAAAAGTGCTAAAGCTTTGAAGTACTGAAGCCTGAAAACAGGCCCCCAGCTGAAGCCGCTAACTTGTTATGTAATCATTAACAAAGTATGTAAACTCACTAGTGAGAGATGCAGCTTAGCAAAACATAATCAGTAGTGAGGAGAGAATGTATCCAACTTTCCTTGTTCAGCCTTGTTCTAGGCTGAGAACCCAAGTATCTGTCCTTGTTAGAAACTCCCTTGGTTTCTCCCCCTGAGCCCTGGACAGGCTTTGGGTGGAATCCAACAGGAGAACGAAACCAGAAATTTTCCACTTAAAACAAAGGTGCCAGCTCTTCTGGCTTGTCGATCTCTGGTATATAAGGCTGGACCCGCTCACAGGGACTTTGGAAGCCTCACCCATGGGTGGACGCACCCCGTAGGATTTCCCCCTTGCCGGGACAGGCTCTGCAAACCCTCGCTGTAACCGGGGCTGCCCAGACACTGCGGGTCTGGGTGATGATAATACATGCAAGTGG